ATTTCTATAGAAAAAAATCAAAAAAAAATGAATAGTTTATTCTTTCTTTGAAGCCACCTATTATTATGCAAAAATAATGTGAAGTTGGTGTGAAATACATTGTAACAAATACTGTAATTTACCCAATTCAATCAATTATAAAATTCCGGATGAAACGAATAAACCGGATTTATTAAATCCGGATAGAACGAAAGTATTCAGTTTTATTCGTACCTAATCCGGATTTAATAAATATATCCGATTCAAAACTCTAACGCAAACTTTATTATTTGGAACGAGAAATTATAAAAATGCGAATTTCGGCTTTTGTAAAACTTTAAATATGATGAATTCTTGTGACCACGTGTAAAACGTCTCGTATATTTTTAATATTAATTGCAAATCGTTACAACACATTAAAGTGCCGATATCGAGTAATAATATAATTATATTTCGGATTAACTAGATCAATTAAAGTTTTAAAGAAATTTAAAGAAGAAACAAATCATTTTCGTTACATGAGGAAATTAACAAAAACAATTGGGTTCGGTTTGATTAAAAATACGCGAATTCTCGAATTCCTTTAATAATATCATCAGTTTGAAAAAAATAGTCCTTAAAATGAATTGCGTTACGCGATAAATATACAATATTATATTAATCGAGTTTATTCGAGAATATTAATTACTTTGAGCAATATAGTATGGTTTTTTTGTAAGGAATTTCGTTGACAAATTTGAAACACGTGATTGATTGATGAACAACATTTCGTAACCAAACATGCCATTTTCTTAATGTTATTCTTAAATACAATATATTGTAACCTTTATTTAGTTAATTAAATTCAATCAATTTTACACAACCAAACTATGATTTGTAAATAATAAAAAAATTCAAGAAAAAAAAGAAAAAGTTCTTGATCATTTAAAAGAATTCTTATTGAGAATCATTGTATAAATAAAATAATCATTTTATTTTGATATCATTATCGCAATGAGTTTCTATTGTTGACAAAAAACAAGAATGAATGAATCCCACATGAAAATCAAAAATATTTACTGGAATTAGCACTTGTCTTATCCATTATTGATATATTCATTCCCTTGTGGATTCTAGATTGTTATTCCTGATTTAAAAAATAAAAGTCTATTATCAATCGTGGCGGTTCTTAAACAAGTATTTAAGATTTTATTTTATAATGAAAAATAAAAGTTTTGTTACCTTCATGTAGGAAAAATCCAAAAGCAAAATTTAAATATAAAAATCGTTATCTTTTTTTCAAGGAAAAAAAAAAAAAATAAATAAATAAATAAATTCTTTCCAAACAATATAATAATATCTTCAACAATGGGTCAAAGCATTCTTGTTGCTCTAAGTTTAGGTATCTTCACATATGTAGCACATTTTTATTTCAAGTATTTCACCCGTCCAAATCCAATTCCTGGTCCAATTCCACTTCCATTTATCGGGAACCTACTTCAACTTAATGGGAACATATCAAAATTCTCCAGAGAATGCCAAAAGAAGTACGGTGATATTTGTGAATTTTACATTGGAAATCCAAGTAATAAAACAAGAGGAGTCATATTAGGCAGATCAGATTTCCTAGAAAAAATTTATTCAACAAAGATACAGACAAGTAATTTCATTCACCGTACACCTCCTAATGATGGATTAGATGAATACGGTTTTTCAACAAAAGGAATAGTATATAATAGAAATTTTGATACATGGATATATTATCGTAAATTTTTCATGCGTGCTATTATGGCCCCAAAGTTTATTAAACAAACTTTGGTATGGACCGAAGGAAATTTTGAAGAGATGGAAAGTTATTGGAAGGAACTTTATGGAAAGGATAGCTTCGAATTGGATTTATCTCAATGGTTACTTCGATTCACTACGGAAACTATCTTTCAAATTACATCCAATAAAAAAGTATATGCGTTGGCAAATTATTTTAATAAATTATCTCCAAAGGGAAAATTAGGCTTTGATACCACCGTGTTAAAAGAATCCGAAGAATTCATTCATAGGGTTGAAGATTTTATTACTAGTTTGATATATTTCTTGTTAACACCAAAATTTTTACGTTATTTTCCTATTGGTGGATCCTATCAAAGAACCTTAAAATTACTGAAAGAACGTGACAATTTGATCAATGATCTGATGAACTTGGTCGCGAAACGAAGGGAAGAGATTGATAACACACCTTTAGATGAACCAATCACTCCTGACATGCTTACCATGTTGATCACAGTTAATACCAAAAGAAGTATTATTGAAAATACTAATGATGCAAATACCGAACCGATGACGGATGATGCTATTGTTGGTAATTTTATGGAAGCAGTTGCTGGAGGTGTTGATACCACTGCAGCCTCGGCCTGTTATGTCGGATATTATTTGGCTCAATACCCTGAAGTAAAAAAACGTGTCTTTGAAGAGATTGATTCAAAATTTACTCGTGATCAAAAATTAACATTAGAAGTTCTAGACAAACTTCCTTATTGTGAGGCGGTAATTAGAGAAACTTCTCGACTCCTTCCAATCGCAGATCTTAATTATCGTATGAATACCAAGGAAGAAATTTTAGGTGGTTATGTTATTCCTGCCGAAACTCAAATTTATATACATCACTATGGTATGAATAAACACAAGGCTCATTGGTCTAATCCTGAAGAATTTAATCCTGATCGTTTCTTAAATGATCGAGAAAAATCTATGAATTTTCAATTTGGAGGCGGTATAAGGATGTGTCCGGTAAGTCATCTTTTTCCTGTAGATCAATTTTTAATAGAATTCTAAAGTGATTATTATTTCTTTTTTTTTTCGGCAGGGTCGAAATTTAGCAATGATGGAATTGAAAGCTTTAATGGTATTGATGTATCGAAAATATGATATTGAATTGGCTGATAAGAACGTTCCTTTGAAAACTCACTACACTATTATTAGGCATTGTGATGAATTCAGAGTTAGACTTAAACCCAGAGTAATTTAGATTGTTTTGAAGTTCGATGAGGAAATTGCGTTTTTGATTTTGAAAGGCCATTGGGGTGTGCGATATGTATAATATTCTAATAAATTTTATTATTGATATTCAGTCTTATCAAATATTTCAAAACTTATCACCTCATTCAATTTTAAATGTAAAGGGTTGTTTCCATATATTTAAAAGAACCTATGTTGCGAAAATTATAAAATTTGTTCGTTTTATACACAATCATCCTATAAAGATTTTTGTTAATGATTATTTATTATGACATCTTTCAAATAAATTTAAGATGAATACATTGAGTAAAAAAACGCAACATTTAAAGATTTATATAATTTGATGATAATTATAAATTACGATAAATATGTGAAATTAGAGCGTATAGAAAGCGTATTTAAAGTATGGCAAATGCTAAGCGAACCTTAAGCGATGTTATTTATTATTTGTGTAACTAAACAATCATCAGTGATAAAATTTACTTTGATGGTTTTTATTTTTAGATCATACAAGTAAAGAATATAAGTGGATATTGTCATAAGGGCACTATCATTTCAAGGAATTTGGATTTTCCCGCGCTTAAACTATTCTGTTCACCTGATGTAAATATTCTTTTGTATGAATGGTAAGAACCAAACCATTCAGTGAAACAATAATATTTATTGTCGTTTTTTCTTTTTAAGTTACTACTATCATTAAATCAAAAGATGTAATTAGGAATAGGAGTCTTATTATGGATTAGATTTACATTAAAATGATGATTCATATGAAGGAGTAAGATACATGTGATCTTTTGATATAATCTATACAACTGCGCCACGACCGATTTTAAATAAAACCGTATTCACGTGATTTTGGTCATGCACTTAAAATCCTACCGCAGTATATTCATATACGTCACATAAGTCTACTTTTAGAATAATAACCCCCCAAAAAGATGCTTTTCACGAAATGGGAAATACTCAATTGCCACGGAATAATTTTTATTACCCGTTAGCGTTAGCCAAAGATGCGTAATCCTTAATCAATATTCCATTTTGGTGAGTTAATCGGATTTGTCATATTAACGAAAATGTTCCCAAACCAATGCGAATTATATAAAAAGGTGTCGCCCCCAGTTAATCCATTTATCCACCATGTGCAATTAAGAAAACGAAAAATAAAAATTAAGCGAAACATTCAAACTTACATAATTTACATCATCAATATTAACAATCAAACGGACTCCTATCCTATATTCTGCAAAGCAATAATAAAGGTATGTTGATTTATTGCTCGACTAGCTTCTTGAAACTTGTCATCATCACGATGTTAATCTATTTTTCCTCCTCTATAGATGTCCCAAAATAAAACTGACGATTCAAGCTTCTTATTATATATATCGGCATTGTGATCTTCGCCGAGAAAATCACTGACCATCATCACGCGTATGATAGACGCAATGAAATTACTCACATAAATCTCGTCACATGCCTTAACATCACGCTCCTCAAGCCAAATTCTTGGTATTTGGCGCAGTATCGTACCGGCAATAAAAAAATCGAATTACCTTTATTGTAATGCATTAAGTAATAAATTTCAGGCGAAATGGAATGTTGCGAAAATTAATAGTAATGGTAAGTGTGAATCGGAAATATATTTTTTTTACCTCAGTTGCTAATCACACGAATTTATGCCGTAGATTCGGGGAATATTATTTTACATAATCTGCGTGTTTGGGAGAGATATAGATAGAAAAAATTCTGTAAATATGGGTGGATAATTTATTTCAGAAATCTAGTATAGTAAAAGAGTGTGGGATGAGAATCTTGTAGTAGTAGCGATTATTGTATGATATAATATACACAATGACTCGAATTTTATAATAATATCTTATCAAGATAATTTAAGATCAGTCAATATAAAGAATCGGACTTACTCTCATAATGATCAATGAAGCTCAAGCTCATCAGATTTGGACGCTTGATAAAGTTAAAAATTTTAAATCATATAATTCACTCTGTTAATTTTTCTTATTATTCACCTTTCATGTTTTACTTCTCGATTTGAAAGCTACTTTTAAATCGTTTTTTTTTTATTTACTTTTTATATTAACTCCCCTTAGCTAAATAAAGATGGACTATTTTAAATTTTTTAACGAATATAAAAAACGTGTTCCGGAAGCCACATCTGAGCAAATCAACGAAGACTTTAAAATTAGCAGTAAGTTGAGCTGTATTATTTACTTCCACAAAACTCCAGTCTGACCATATCGTATTCTTGTCTGGTAACTAACTTTGCCTGTTTTGGTCTCCTAACCCAATTTAGATGAACATCCAGGTAAGCCTTTGCGTCGTAATGATTGGTCAACTCGAACATGACGCTTAACTAACAGATAATTTTCTTCGTCTTGAAGCCATTTTAGATACGACGACTCATAGCCATTCCTAGCTATGGTATATATATCAGCCAATACACTGTTAAATCTTATGGTTTGAACCTGCAAGAAAATCACTTTCTTTCGCTACACCGCCAACAGGCGATAAAGATAATGTATACCAAAGTTATTTTCGTGAAAAGATCTTGTCACTGCTAGGCAGTGTTGGCAAATGACCTTGAAATGACCTCAAATGACCTCACTTTAATTATAAATTTCAAGTCAAAATGATCAAGGTCAGCTAGGAGGAGATAGTTACGTCAAATCTGTTGACATGCATTCAAAAAAATTTCTCGATGGAAAGGCCTCAGACATATGCACTCATCTTGATGACTATTTATTAACATCACACACGATAGAATCTATAGGCGAAATTAAACCCTACGGTTCATGTTTCACGTCAACTAACCAAGGACAAGTTATATATATATGCAACAATCGCATTAAAACATCAGAAAGGTCATCAAAGTATCATGGGATTTTTCACGTAATGTTTATTTAAGTAATTAAAGATGATAGTGAGAATGGCTTGTATAAAGTAACCTACTCTGATCAATTTAACCTTAGCAATCAAACATATACAAATTATTTACGAGCCCTACTAAGTACATTGTCTTACCACCCGATGACAGGTATTTATTTACATATATTATATGATCTTGTTTTTACAAATATGACTCATTTTAGTTTTGACTTTCAGGAATAAGTGTCAAAATGAATGATTGATTGTGTATACATCTCTATCGAGTGTATTTGGGTTTGTTATGATGAAGACGCAGTTGTTAAAGTTATGTCATGATCTGACATATTAATGAATGAAATAAATGTATTAACAAAGCTTCAGAAATGAGGAGTCAATGATGGTATTATTAGACTTGTTAGTTCGTCTGATGCAGCGATGCTATTAAGATCACGAGCAGTTGAAACATTCAAGGAATGTAATAAACCTGTATTTAGTGTTGGGAAGTACAATGTTAGCACAATGATTAGTACAGTTAGTACAGTTAGTACATTATAATAATTAATATAAAAATTAGTACAAGTACAGTACAAGTACAGTGATAATTTTATCTAGTACATACAAATTCCCAACCCTGCCTGTATTCTTATTAGCAGATATTATTGAAAAAATTAAGAAATGTTATGAAAATGGGATAATACATAGTGATACTCAATTAATAAATATCCTTGTGGATAAAAATGACAAACTTATATTTATCGATTTCAGATGTGATTTAGATGCAGGCAAGTTATATCAACACTTGACAGGTGTGAAATTGATATCATTATTTATTAGCTTATAAATTTCAGGTATGATACGAAAATAGACTAAGATTACCACTTTTATCTTTAAAGCTAATATGATTAATAATCATCAGTACGTTTGCCGGAAGATGGAATCTGCAAATCTTTACAGATTATCAAAATGATCTGTTCACTCTTATACAATTAATTTACATTCACTTAAATAAGGATTATATATTACAAGTACTTGAAAACAATATTGAAGACCTGAATCATGTTATCTTATTCTGGGATAAAGTATTTGTAGATAAGTGAAAAATTGTGTATGATTACTGCAATAACCTGAATTATGATGCCCTATAAGAAATCGAAATAAGGAAATGATACGTTTTTTATAAGGTTTGTATACGTAATTAATGATTCTATATC